ACTTTTTTGATAAATATTATTAAAATGTAAACGAAGCCAATGAGCTTTCTCTTCAATTAAATGTGTTTCAAGAAGTTAACCAATTCTTCAAGAAGAAATTCATGAGCAATGAACATGAGATCAAGTATAAATGGTGTTCTAGAGTAACTAGTCCCATAAATATATCTTTGTTAAATTAATAAAATTAATATTTAACCGTAGCATTCTTTTAAACAATATGAATAAAACATCAAATAGCTTACTTTATAATAATTTCGAACTGTTTAATTAATCTATTTGAATTACTTTCATCAAGTAATCCAGATGCTGTAAGGTCATTCAAGTTGTTCTCATTGGTTGTCTCTAATGCAGCAAAAGAATTGTTTGGATCATCTCCTGCTACATAGAAATAAATTTTGTAAAGTTAAATAAAAAAAAGATACTATGATCGCAAATGCCTGCAAACTGCCATAATTTAGATTAAGCTTGTGCTGCACATCACTTCTAGATTTAAAATATACGGACATGCTTTACTACCATTGGTAACCGATTTGAACAGATTTCCAATCCATTATCCGTTTACCCGGATAAAAAATTTTCAATAGATTTAAATATACGGTACTAACCTTTGCTATGCGTTTTGGTGAGCTGTTCTTTGCACATTCTAAAAGTTGGTTTGTTAAATGAGTAAAACGAGTGGTGGTAGCATTTACATATGTTTCCATTTGTTTATTTACATTAGTGACTACGGCCAAGTCATATTCATTCTATTTATAATAAGGAATTAAAATTATCAGTTGGATATAAATATAATACCAATTAATTCATCTAGTTTACAAAACTCTTCATTTCTAATTTTGAATTCAACTATTTCTTCGTTTACTGATATCCAGAATTTTTTGCACCCTCGGAGGACTTTTCACTTTAAGTATTAAAAAAACTAACATGTTAATATCTTTCTAACCTATTTGCATTTTGGCAATAACATGTAAGAGCGCCCAAGGGAACCTCAGTCCACTATCACTAGCCAACCTCAGTCAACCAGTTACTTGGGGGTTGTCAATATGTCACGCTACTATTTCAATAATCGGAACACATTCTAGCTCTTAGTTCAAGGGCACCCAAGGGAACCTCAGTCCACTATCACTAGCCAACCTCAGTCAGCCAGCTACTTGGGGGTTGTCAATATGTCATGTTATTGTCTTAGTAACCAGAACATATTCTAGTCCTTGAACACATGAAATTGCTAATCTCAATTAATAAAAACTTAATTTCAAAACTTTCTAAACAATGTTTAGCATACTCGTTATCTACGGGCATTCTTTCTAGTGCTATTTTGTATTCTGAGTGCTCATATGAAAAATCATCTTGTTTTTTTCTATAATATAAATAGCATAGTAACGACATTTTCTTTGCTCTGTTTGTTTGAAATAATCCATAGTGTTAGCACACGACCTCTTTCTGCTGGTCTAGGTCTGATCTCACTAAGAGATTTATTTGCTTGGCTTATATTCTTCGACTCGTTTGTCGTTCCAGGCACTGCTTACGAGTGGTTTGTTTACTAAGAACTTTTTATTAAGGAGGGGGTCAGATGTGTTTAGTATAAACTTGGAAATGATCTACATGCAGCATGGGGGACATTCGAATCCGATGATTTCCGGGATCGATGCTACACAAGATTTTTAATACAAGTTACGCGTCCTTCAATAGTTTTTCTTAAGTTTTGCGTAATTAATGAAATTATACTATCGT